TCAGGCATGTCCAAACTATGGCCCGTGCAGCAAATGTGGCCCTCAGACACATTTTTCTTGGCCCTCAGGCTTCCAAGAGAATTGGCCCAAATGACCTTGCATCACTGAAAAATTACCGTTTTATTGCAAGTTTTTTTTTGGAAAATCTACCTTGATAAAGCTAATATTTAATATTTAGTGTGTGGTTTTAAGGATCTTAGCATGAAAAAAGGACTGATGGTTCATTGTAACGTGTCAAACATGCACATATTTCAATTATTCACTATACTGAGCACCAGTCTACGGCCCTCGATCAGCCCTCTGCTTTGTCTCTGTTTAGACCTGTGGCCCTTGATGAAAAAAGTTTGGACACCCCTGGTCTAAAAAAATAGTGTTTTTATTATCATCGTGGTATCAGAATCTGTATTGAGTCTATTCCTTAGTATTGAAATTAGGGGTGTCAAATTATCGCGTTAATTGCGATTAATTAATTACAGTCACATGTTTTTTAATCGGGTTAATCTTATTTTTAATCTCTAACTTTACTGTTTCTGTATGTGAGTTGCCTTATTTTAAAATCTGTTTTTATGTGTTGTTAGGACACAGTCGCACTGTGCAGTCCTGCTCCGCTCGCTTCCGCTAAGAACTGTAGCCTAATTTTTATTCCCGTTCTCGCCGCATCTGTGATAAACCTGCACACGTCTGATCTGAAAACATCACGACACAGACACAGAACAGACTCACCTTCAGCATCAACATCCCTCTGTCACAGAGAGAACACTCATATTCCACTGAGTCATGTCCTTTAGTAGAAGCTGAACCACATCAGCGACACAAGAGCATTTTTTTCTTTTCTACGCTTAGTTTATGCAAATTAGTCATGTGGTTTTTAGTTTTGTTTCTGTGAGACTTGCGCAAAGCTGCATTAAACACATGATAATGTCAAACGGGCTGATGTGGCTCTAGAGTGTTTATGTTTATATGTTGTAAAGTTGAGTTTATTTATGCAGATTAGTAACAGTAATAATGAATGATACTTATATAAAGACGTTAATGATAGTACAAAAATAATGTAATGATGAGTTCAAATGAAAATACGTCAAGTTGAAGCTTTTCTCAGCAATTTTTAGGTGAGATTAAAAAAGAGATTAATTAGATTAATTAATTACAGATCATAATTAATTAATCTCTAAATTTTTTTTAATCATTGACAGCACTAGTTGAAATGGAGTTTGAAAGGTTAGTATCGTGACAACATTATTCCCTGTTGATTCCACTGCACTTTACCCTGAAATATCCAAAAGATAAATTCACAAATGTTGAACTCTGGGCTTCAGGACAATACAGGAAGGCTGGATAAATCAGTGTGTAAGATCTTTTATTTCTCACCCAAAGCGGAAGAACGTTGAGCGGTGCATTGTGGGCTTCCTGGCTCGGCTTCAGTCTCGTGTGTGGAGTGTGTGGTCTGTGGTTTGGGCTCAGAGGAAGCCCAGCTGTTTGTTTGGAAAGACATTTATCCATGGTTTAAGATTGAACTGCACAATGTCTGGAGCAGGGATTTATGACGCTACTAAAGGCACTCGCTTTGTACCGCGTCTGCAAGATCACACTGGTTGTTATCGTTAAAGGGTCATATTTCACTATTTTCTGATCTATGTTATGATGTTTCCTCGTCACAAACAGGTCTGGAGCTGTGTTTTGTTTCATTCGCACATATTTAACACACAAATCCCACATATACAGGCTTTTTTTCTATCGAACAGAACTTGTGTTGTCATGTGGTGATACAGGAAGTGCTCCTCTGTGTTTTTAAACTCCCTTGAAACCTACCACTACATAAAGAGTTACTCAAACATGTGAATGAAACAAAAGACAACTTCAGTTCGGTTTTTGGGGAGGCAACAACATTCAACAAATCGAGACCAAGTCCATGACCTCAGGGTCCCGAGACCTGGACAAGACCAAGACCTCTCAGGGTTGGACAAGACCAAGACTCTTAAAGGCAGAGACAGAGACAAGACTGAGACCATCTTTGTAATTTTTGACATTTATTTGTATTTTACAGTTATTTTAACTGATTAATGTTCATTTAATCTTATAATAAGCCAAGCAAACTGTACTGCACTTAAACACACGCCCCGTTTTTGGATCCTCACCCACCCCACTTAATCCCAGTTACAGAAAACTGTGAAAAAAGTGAAGAAAGTGGGTAGGGTTTTAAGCCTGTTTTTTTAATTTCCTAACTGGAGATAAATTCTCTTACTGGGTTTGCAGTGGGATTTACAGCCTCTTCACATTTACCAAACGCACATGTGACAAAAACGCAAAAGATGCATTTGTGAACTATTATTTGGCAAACTTCAGCCACATCGCTGTAAGAAGTTTATTGCCGTAATGAAACGTGATCGCACTCGACAAGTGTCAGACCTCGAGTCCGAGACAAGACCGAGTCCAAGCGCCTTCAAGACCGAGACAAGACCGAGTTCAAGCGCCTTCAAGACCGAGACAAGACCGAATCTAAGTGCCTTCAAGACCGAGAAAAGGCCGAGTTCATACGCCTTCAAGACCGAGACAAGACCGAGTCCAAACGCCTTCATTTTTTTTTTCAATTTCTACGATGTCAAAAGCATTTTTAGATATCATCCGTGCATGTTTGAGTCATTTTTCAACCTCTCCCTGCTCTTATTTTCCTATTCGAACCATCCTTGTAAATGTAAATGTACAAAAACACGATACAAAACTGTCCACAGCAGCTGTACAAACCTGTTGTGATGTGCAGGAGTTTCGTTGATGGATGAACGCTGATTGTGTTGTAATTGCGCTCTGAAGGGGGAGCTACTCTAGTTAAAATTGCACATTCAGAATAGTTTTGGGGGATAATCCTGTTGGAGGGTCTTTGTGTCAGTGGTGTGTGTTTCAGTTTGATCTTTTATTGTCTGTTGTTTAAACTCTGTTGTGGAATGTGTTTTTGCGAATGCTCCACTTGTGTCCCCCTCCCTCACTGCCCCCTGTGTCCTGTCCAATCAGAGCCCTGCTTGCTGCCCTGTACCCCCCCCCCTGTTTAAAACCACTGAGCCCACTGAGCAAAAAACAATATCACACACATACACAACAATAACACACAACAAATAACAAACATTATCTTCTGAATGGAAAAAAGTCCTCAAAATGTTGGATATAAATGGAACACACAGAGATTTCTGAATTTCTATTAGTTAACTCTGAGAACTCTTCAAAATTCAACATGGTGGCTCCTGCTTTTTTGGATCAAGTTTGACATTTGACAGTTCAAAGATCGATCGTACTTGTGTTACTCTCCTTGAAATTACTCCTGCAGTTCACCCACTTCTGTGACAGACTCTTTTGTGGCCTCTGCAGATATAAATGTGATGTTATGCTGATGTTATGCTGATGTTATGTATATTAGGGAGGTCCTTATCCAATGGTAAAAAAAAATAAAAGTTAAAAATCTCTCTCTGAGCCTCTACATATTTAGCATTAAACTAAAAAAATGGGGTTTGCAAAGTTTCACAAAGATCCATGCATATTTAAAGGAGCTCAAAGATCTTCTGTCATTGTGGCTTCATTCCTGCTGAAGTCCTGAAGGAAACACAATTAAAGAGTCACATTTTTACAACATAATCTCCTGTTCACTCAACAGACACATGCATTTGTGACTTATGAAAGAAAACATGATATTGACTGACAGAAAACATATTTTATTGATGCTAGTTTTTGTGCTAAGACATTAAGTGTGAAGTGTTTGAGAGACTCTTGAAAGTTTGATTCATGCTGGGTTCACTAGTGCTTCATGCTTCCACTGTATTTCCTCCCAGACTCGTGTCAGTGTCACTGCACCATCATCTTCTTAGGAATTCACCTCAGCCTATTCAATTTGAGTTTGGATGGTAGTGGATCGACTAACGAGTCTCTTAGACATAAATCAGGAGAGTCAAACTCAAATCCACAGAGGCCAACATTAAAAACTGGGACTAAGTCATGGGCCAAACTAAATATTTACTGAAAAATTTCAACAACATCTGCATGTTTTCTCTTCTTTCGAGATATGTAATGTTAAATCTTTTCTTATTCAAATAAATGTTTAATAATAGTTTTGCTTAAACATTGAATCCAGAACAAGCAGAATATAAAATAATAACAACATTTTAAATAGTCGGCGGGTCAGCTCTAATACAGATTTGATATGATCTTGTGGGCCAAATATAATTATATTGCGGGCAAAATTTGGCCCCCGGGCCTGAGTTTGACATGTTTGACAGAGGCCTTGTATAGTACAGGAGCACATGATGATCATGATGAATTTCACTGAAAATGCATCAGTTATAGAAACTTCCGGGCATTTGAGCTGTCTATAAATATGAATGTATTATCATCAAACTTTAAAGACCACAAGTTCTCCTCAATTGGAGCATTTTGGGAAGGTAATTTTAAAAGTTCATAAATAAGGATCACCTTAATGCACACGCCGCTAATTTGAACAAAAGCACAAATCCACTCTTGTGAAACGTTGCTTTCTGAACTGTTCATGTAGAAACAATGTCCGGGATTCTAAAGACACTTAATTGGATCCTGATTTTG